CACACACACACACACACACACACACACACACACACACACACACACACACACACACACACACACACACACACACACACACACACACACACACACACACACATACATACACACACACACACATACACACACACACTCACACACACTCACACACACTGACTAGAGGACTGATCAGTGACACACGAATGAACAGGAGTCTGACACCGAGAGTAACACACACACTTCAGCTTTAATGAGTGCGTCATGATGAGCCGGTCATTTACATCAGTGCAGAGGGTTAATCAGGAAACAGGCGAAGATTAAACACACACACACACACACACAAACACACACACACACAGGCGCAGGTTTGTCTGTAGTCAGGTGTGTGTTCAGACGCGGTCAGTTCCCGGGCGTCCTGCTGCGCGCGCTGGAGGATACGAGGGTTTTTCAGAAGCTTCACTCCCACAGATACAGCAGAGCAGGGAACCGCCGATGATGGAGAGAGCTGAAGAGCCCCAGCCCACATACAGAGCCTTCCCGAACTCATACCTGACACACACACACACACACACACACACACACACACACACACACACACACACACACACACACACACACACACACACACAGAGAGAGAGAGAGAGAGCAGACTCATGAACACATCAGGCAGGGTGTGCATGGACTGCATGTGTTTATCCGTGTGTTTTTGAGAGGGGTCTGGCTGCAGACCTGGTGCAGTGCAATCTGAGCTGCATCCAATGCTTTTGAATGCTCACCTAACCCCGCCCCTAACCCCACCCCTCATAGTGATGTCACTCACTCTATTTAAGTGCACTGTGTCTGACATCGCATCTCTGAGAGAGGCAGTCTCAGCTTGCATCATGAAGGCTGCATCCAGATACTGCTGGTGTGTTGAGCACATCTCAGAATATTGCCATTAAAAATGCTTCATCAAAACACCAAGATGCAAAGCAGATCTCCATTCTCCAGATCTCCATTCTCCAGATCTCCATTCTCCAGATCTCCATTCTCCAGATCTCCATTCTCCAGATCTCCATTCTCCAGATCTCCATCCCCCAGATCTCCATTCTCCAGATCTCCATCCCCCAGATCTCCGTTCCCCAGATCTCCATTCCCCAGATCTCCATCCCCCAGATCTCCGTTCCCCAGATCTCCATTCCCCAGATCTCCATTCTCCAGATCTCCGTTCCCCAGATCTCCATTCTCCAGATCTCCATTCTCCAGATCTCCATTCCCCAGATCTCCATTCTCCAGATCTCCGTTCCCCAGATCTCCATTCCCCAGATCTCCATTCTCCAGATCTCCGTTCCCCAGATCTCCATTCTCCAGATCTCCATTCCCCAGATCTCCATTCTCCAGATCTCCATCCCCCAGATCTCCGTTCCCCAGATCTCCGTTCTCCAGATCTCCGTTCTCCAGATCTCCATTCTCCAGATCTCCATTGCACTGTGTTCTCTGTGTTTGGTCTTGGTCTTCTGACTCATTTATGTAACAGCACAGTGCTGCGGCCTCCACTCCTCTGGGTGAGATCTG